CCCCCCCCCAAACACACACATACACACTATGAGTGGTTGTTGACTGCTCTCCTTTTGCTCTTCATATTAGCGCATTGCAACATTTTAGAACTGAAACTCAAATCTGACTTGATGTCTCTTTGGGCTGGTTTAGCTCTTAGGACTGTCGAGTTAAAAGTCAAGACTCTAGAAGTACAAAATACAAGTTCCATTCCTATCATCATAGATTAGATTGGAACTGAGTTTTGTGAGATTTCTTGCTATGGAAACTGTCACTTTTGTAAGGATTCTGTTTACTCACTGCACAATCGTTGTGTTTCTTTTATTTCAATAAAATGTTAACTTATGTACCAGCAGAAAGTTTCTTCTTGAAACATTAATTTTTTATGTCCTTTATTTATTGGACAAGCTAGTAGTTCCTATTATTCGCCAGGGCTCTTTTGATAAGCTTTTTTGTTTAAATTCCTCAAAAACATTGTATGTTTCATTGAATTGTTGTCTTTGAAAACTCACTTTCAACTAATATATTATCGTCCTTCTACTTCGAAGTTGTTCACAGCCTCTCTACCCTTTTCGGGGTAGAGGTAAGGTCTGCGTACACTCTACTCTCCCCAGACCCCACAAGTGGGATTATACTGGGTATGTTATTATTGTTGTTGTTGCTTCGAAGTTGTTAAAGTTTAAGCTTTCTGAGTTAGCATTCCAATTCGACCAAGTCATATTGGATTAGTAAACGATGGTTCTAGTGTCTCATATTCTGACTGTAAAGATAATTGGTGATGTTTCTAAAAGAAGAGGTTATTACTTGCTTTAACAGAGCTACTTCTTCCTTGTTACATGTTGCAAAATAGTTAGTTGGTTTAATCAAAGAGATTCAAGTTTAACATGTGCTACTTACCCATCATTAGCACCAAGTAGCATGTATTGTAGGTCGATGAGGCAACTGTTGGGTTCTTGATAAAAACAAAGAATCTGCAAATATTTTTGGAGGATGATGAATTCCTTTCTGCTGCCTTCACTTCTGAATAGGTATTTATGCGCACTAAATCCACCATTCCCAGTATGCACCCCCCTTAATGTCTTTGTAAAATTTTCATTTTGCTTTTTGGTAATTTCCTGAAATATACTACTTTTGACATGTTTTGGTATTGAGCTGGATGATGGATTATATTGCTTTCCAACATATATCATAGTTTACTGATGGTTCTGGATGTCTTTTGCTGGTGATGTATCATTAACTGAAAGGAGCTCTGCAATTTCTTCTGGCTCTCTATTTTCTGATATCGCCTTTTGAATTATTATTCTGAGCCGAGGGTCTAATGGAAACAGCCTCTCTACCTTCATTAGGTAGGGATAAGGTCTGCGTACACACTACCCTCCCCAGACTCCATATGTGGGAATATACTGGTTATGTTATTGTATAAAGAGTGGCATGCCATAAATATTCGTAAGCATGCGTATATACCGAAACACTACTAATGCTAGAATTTGTGTACTCCTAATTATAAATGCAAAATCTTTGGCTGTAACAACAGATAATGAAATGATAATTTATTGTCCATGGTACATAACATTGGGATTAATTTGGGTATAAAAGAATCTCCATATTTAGGCATAGCTGATGGATTACGAACATGTATATTTTATTTATCTTAAATCAGTACAAGACAGAGATTCTCAAGTACTTAAGTTGGAATTTGGATGCAGGTTTTCTTGAAGCAGCATCTTAGCAGTGTTGTTTTTTATTCAAATTTTAAGTTTCTATCAACTATTACATGAAGAGTATTTGTAAATGAATATATCATATCTTGTATCATTGAATTGAAGGAAACATGGATAACTAACTTCTTCCACATTTTTTTCAGTATTGGTCATTTATGATTCGTTCTATTTATTATGGGCTTTTGTACTTGCTTTTTGCTGTACTTCCTTTGTTATTTAAGCAGTAGCCAGATTATCAACCTTTCTCTGCCTTGAAATTTCAGAACTTCTCAGGCTTGAAGTCTAAATTTATCATACTTGAACATAAAAGATAAACTTCTTAAAACTATTCATTGGCTGCATCAGTTTAATTATACAATATTTGCTCCAATTCTTTAGTTGATTTGGTGATTAAATTATTTATTTGTTTTCTAAATAAAGTAGCTAGTAGGAGTTTTTCACATGACTTCTTCTTTTAACAGATCAAGATAAAAGAACTTGAAGTTTGAAGAATCTATCCTTGAAAAATGTGCGGAGCAAGTTGAAGCATAATAGGAGTTTTGTTTCGTTAGCAGTGGTTTAAAGATGTCATTGTTAGCAGTGGTTTAAAGATGTTGTCATTTATACATCGTGCTATAGTTCTACTGTCTATTTTTAGGAGTTGATAAAAATAGTGTCATGCAATTTGGATGGATATATTTATGATCCTTCTATTCATTGTAATGACAATGAAATTTTATAGAGTATGAATTTTGATTATTTGGTATATTGTTAGATGCGTGGTATGTGTGTGAGAAAGCATATGGTAATGATTATTATTGGATAACTACATGAAAAATTAGTGTAATTATATTTATTAAAATTTCACATTAGCGAAGGAAAATGTGGTCTTTAAAACTCTTTAACAACAGGACTATCAAATGGTTACATGTGCACTAGCGAAGGGAAATTTTGCAATTTGCGAAGGGAAACCCGGTCTGTAAATAGGAATAACGACGGGAAATTTTTTGGTCGTTAAAGGAATTTAACGACGGAGTCTTTAGCGGCTGTCGACGACCGGATTTTGTTCGGTCGTTATTGACTTATAATGACTGTGAACTTTTAGCGACTGGATTTCCCTTCGCTAAAAGCTATTTTTCTTGTAGTTACGTTGGTTTTATTGTTGGTATTGTTGTTGTTGTTGTTGCTTGTAATAGAGAATTTGGTATGCTGGCAGGTGGTGTAGCTGCCAAAACAGGCAGTTTCTACCAAAACTATACCCAGAAAAGCGACCAACTTTGGTCGCTTGTTAGTTGCTTTTCTATTTAAAAAAAAAATATTTTTTGGACAATAGCGACCAACGTTGGTCGCTAATTAACCCAGATTTCCTAAAAAGCGACCAACTTTGGTCGCCATTCTATTAAAAAAAATCTGAAAAATAGCGACCAATTTTGGTCGCTTATGTTTAAAAAATAATTAAATTTTTGAAATTAGCGACCAATTTTGGTCGCTTATGTTTAAAAAAAAAAGCGATCAACTTTGGTCGCTATTTTCCAGATTTTAAAATATAGTATTTAGTTTACAGACCAAAGTTGGCCGCGATATTTTGATTAATAATAAATTTAAAAAAATGTAATTTAAATATAAAGACCAACTTTGATCGCTAAATTTATATTATTAAAATATTAAAGCGACCAAAGTTGGTCGCTAGTTAGCGACCAACTTTGGTCTCTAATTAGCGACAAACTTTGGTTTCTAAGTTAAAGGGCCAGCAAAATAGCGACCAAGCCAGTTTGGACGCTTTTTGGTCACTTTGTGACCTGTAAGCGACCAACTTTAGTCGCTTTTTGTGGTCGCTATTTTTCGGATTTCTAATAGTGAAGATATTTTTGTAAACTGAATAGACAAAATACTAGCAGTATATAGATGTTCATGGCAATATGAGGAGGTAAGGTATTATGTCATCCTCCTCTGTGTGTATTCACATTTTGAATTCTAATGAACGGGTCCAAGCCCAGACCCAGTGTCTCGCGATCGGGCCCCGGCAAGGGCAGCTACGGGCACGCAGCCCAGGCAAAATTGTTGGCTAAAAGTTCGTTTTCCTATGTTCATATTCTACTTCGAATTTTTAATTCAAACCACCTCAAAATTTTATCAAATCATCACAAAACTGATATTCAAACTTTTTAAGATGTACCCAGTCTATTCCGATAACACCCACCGAAAAGAAAACAAAAGTTTAACCTTTTTTGGCTACATATAGCTAATTGGTTAGTATTAGTGACATTTTGGCTAATATTAGTAATATTTTATGATTTGACCAATTTTTGCATTAATTGGGGCGGACATAATTGGTAATTTCCCCTTTTTGTTTCTTTTCAGTTTTCCTCTAGTTTCACCTTCATAAAGTTCTCGAAAGATTTTCATTCAGCAAAGCAGTTATACTTTTGGTTTTAGAATCAGCTCTAATAATATTTCTTTGTTTGGCATATGTATTGAATCAGCTCTATAAGAGTTTTTGCTGAAGAAAATAGTTTCTCTTATTTTTTGTAATAAATCAATTAGAATTCATATAATTGCGTGCCAACTGTAAGTTAATGTACGTGCATGCGTTTATGCCGATTAAATGTCCACGGCGCAAGTAAATTGAGTAAAATACTATAGAATGCCTATTAAATGGCCCTGCGCAAGTCTTAAGGAAAATTGAGTAAAATACTATGGAATGCCACTGTAAGAGTGTATTTAAATTCTGGTTCAATTAAGAAAACAATTGATCCTATGTTCTCTTAATAAATAATTGATATTGCATAGCAAGTGGTTATTATAAATGTGCAGAGTGAATAAATTCATGCATCTTTATGTTTCGAGGGGTCTCAGATTTGCCAACAATATACGTGGATCCCCATATTGTTGCCTGTAGCCAGCTTTTCCGATATTCTTTGCGTTGCTCAAGGCCCGGTCAACAGAATGAAAAGTTTACCCGAAAAGAAGAAAAGATCAATCACGCTAATTTTTATATATTTGTAGATCTAACAAAACGTTTTGTTTATTAATTAGTAAGCCGGAAAGGAGTCTAAGCGGGCAGAAGCCTCTGCAGAAACCCATCAATTTGACCAGCGCTGCGGCGAGGAAGTTCTTGATCTTGTCTTCCAATGGCAAATAAGCTCAGGTAATAATTCAGTTTTCAATTTGTTTTTGCAATCAGTAAGACGTCTATGGTGTACATATGTACTCCAAATATTTTTTGCACTTACATACAAACATAGGTGCAAATAAACACACGAATTTGGAATATGTGCAAATTTAGCTCGGTTAAAAAGGTGGTGGAAGAAACTCCCAATGAGTGCATGTTTCCGTCAATAACGCCATCAAAATTTTCGTATTTTAAATAGTGATAGGACAAATTTTTTTTATGATTGAAGATTGGCATTGTCTTTTAGAACATCAGACTGAAATGAAAAAGAAAAGAAAAAAATATATATATCTGTGACTCATAATTTAGTTGGCTGCATCAGCTGCCACAAATTTGAATGGTGAATTCATTCGCATCTGTAAAATCAATACTAGTATATAATCTTTGGTTTGTTCTTTTTTGTGGTGCCAGGTTGGAGGGTAAAGTAGCTGTAATAACTGGTGCTGCAAGTGGCATTGGTGAAACAACTGCAAGATTGTTCGTGGAACATGGGGCGCGTGTAGTCATTGCTGACATTCAAGATGAACTTGGCCATCAAGTAGTGGCTTCAATCGGGACCGACAAGGCCAGTTACCGCCACTGCGACGTCACTGACGAGAAACAAGTTGAGGACACTGTTGTCTACGCTGTCGAAAAATACGGTACCCTTGATATCATGTTCAGCAATGCCGGCACCCTTGGCACTCTCGGTACCATTCTCGACATGGATATGACGGTATTCGATAGAACAATGGCTATTAACGCAAGAGGATCGGCGTTAGCCGTCAAGCACGCAGCTAGAGTCATGGTAACTAAAAAAATCCAAGGCTCCATCATATGCACGGCCAGCTTAGAGGCTATTTTAGCGGGTGCAGCTCCGTTAGCCTACGTGGCATCGAAACACGCCATCCTAGGCGTGGTGAAAGCGGCTGCGCGTGAGCTGGGACAACATGGAATTAGGGTGAATTGTGTATCGCCTTATGGCATTGCGACGCCAATGGTATGCAAAACGTTCGGCGGGGATGCCGCCCCTATTGAAGCTTCAATATCTGGAAATGCTAACTTGAAAGGTATTACATTGAGCACAAAGCATATTGCAGAAGCAGCACTTTTCTTGGCGTCGGATGAGTCGGCTTACGTTAGTGCTCATAATTTGGCTGTCGATGGTGGCCTAAGTTCTATTATGAAGCTAGATTAAATCCTCCTCTAAATTCATGTACAATACTGCTATTCCCTCCCAAGATCTTTTTTAGTTGTTATAGTCACTAAAGGCTCATTTGTTTTTATCAAGATTAAGATATTTGGATTCGAATATACATTTTAATATTAAAGTGTTGCATCTAAATATGAAAGTTGAACAATTAAAACGGTATTTTTTCTCAATATCTAAAATTATAATTATTTGGTGATTGCCAGGAGTGCTTCGCCAAATTTAAAGTTTAAACGATGATCCTAAAAGGATCCATCCAACATAATTTTGGGCAGTAAATTTGGTTTGCCTGTCCCGTCAAATATTGAACAGGACAAAAACAAAAGCCTCGATATTTTATTCAATTGAACATCCAAGCACATGTATGTTGGAAATTTACATTTAACTCAGTGACTGTCAATTTCTTTTGTTTTAAGTAAGCATGACATTTCATCCCCACTGAAATGTTGTTTGTATCTTTTATGATTTTGGCTGTCAATTTTTTCTTGATTAATTTGTTACACGTTTAATAAAATTTAAATATTTAATGGTATCACTGTGACACTACGTGAGCGATACTGTTTTGCGTCGTTCTCAGTTTTTATATTAAATACAACTAAAATAAATTCACAAAACAAGTCCAACAATATGGTCACCGGACTCAACACCTGCATGGGTGCTTTAACTCTGCAATTAAATGATTATTTGGAGAGAAAAAGTCCAAAATATGATACCAAGAGCATGTTTGGATTGACTTGTTTTAAGTGCTTTTAAGTCTAAATAATCGCTTTTAAGCTATTTTGTAGTATTTAGGTAAAGTAAAAAAAAGTGTTTTTAAGCACTTATTTTTAAATTAAAATGATAAAAACAAGTTAAAAGCTAAAAGTTAGAATTTCTAACTTATGGCTTAAAAACTATTTTGACTTAAAAATTACTTAAAACAAGCCCATCCAAACGAGCTCTAAGTATTTATTTATTATTTATTTATCTCTTCAGTTCTTTTTATCTACCGCTTTAGAAAAAATTTACTGCTTCATCCGTCCCATTTTAATTGTTGTTTCAGTTCAAAAAATTTATCCCAAAATAATTGTCACTTTAGAATTTCAAGACTAGATTTGTTAATTGTTTCCAACTATACCCTTAATATTAAAGAATCTCAATAAGCATTTAATTAATAGGAATAACTTAGTAAACTATATCTTGCTTTTTTAAATAAACGTAAAAAGAGTTCAAGCGACAGTCAAAATGAGAAGAGGGAAGTACTAATAATTAGGGGCGGACACACCCTTTTCCATGACACAGCTTGGTCCATAATTTTATTAAATGTACATAGAGAAAAGAAGAAATTATTCAGAATAAATGACATTACTTATCATTATAGTGATTTATTCTTGTATTCATTTTTTCAAACATTGACATCACTTGTAAAAATAATTCTGCCTACGTCACTGCTAATAATACTATGCAAGTCTCAATTTTTGCGCAAAAGATCCTTGGATGTAATAGAGAGTATAGCTTTCATGAGTAGCTTCAACGGTTTTCTCTTCTTCTAATATTTGGTATTCGTAACCTACTTATTCCCCTCCCCCCCCCCCCC